TAAGTTATAATCATTTTAAAATGTACAAAGATTGTACGTTTTCAAGAATGTCAAAATATCTTGTTTATATAAATATCAATAAAAGTCTCCTAGATGCATTAGACAATAAGCTCCAATTCACTATAATTCACTATAATTTTAGAATTTACCACGCTATGTTGTACGTTTGTAAGACGAAATATCAAAAGGGTAAAAAAATAATTCGAATTACTGAAATAATAAGCTAAATTTAAACACAATTATTAGATAAATTATAATTAATAATTTATTAACGATAAGATTATAAGAAATACATTTTGGTGGGTAGGTACACTTCAAATTGCCGAGCGCTAAACTTCAAATTGTCGTTTGTCGACGGCTAGTTAATTCAAATGTTACTACAAATTACCGAGTGTACATGTACGATGTACCTATGCATTGTTTTTATTTGAACTACTGTGATATTTTTAACGAAACAAGCAATTATTTCAAATTACCAACATTTTCAAATTATTGAAGGTTTGAATTACTATCGGAAGTCGATTGTATTATTATTTCAACGAAAATGGATCGTAATAATGAACGTAAAAAGTTTGGCATCACGAAAGCGATAACCGCAAAATCAATCGGACATGAATTCGATATCTATAAGTTATAAGTATAAGTAAAACCAATGTATATTTCGTTTATTGATCAGTTAAAAAACAAGTAACTATCCAAACATTTCACGATGTCGTTGTCAAGTTGCCATCTCCTCGGTTTTAATGTCGACGACGATTAATCTTTAAGACACTGACATATTTTGTTGTCTCCGTTTTACAACTTACAAGTACTTAACATATCAAATGTTACGCTCAGCAGATCACGTATATCTCCGTTACTTTGTGTGAATTAAACTTATGAAATGTATAGGTAAGATTATTATTTAGTTCACCTCAGAGGTATTATATTTAAATTTTAAAGCAAGTTGTGAGCATTTTGAGATGTACAGACAATTAACAGCCATGGCAAACATTAGGTTTCGAATATAATACAAACGTAAAACATTTTATAAGCTGAAAAGTTAAAATTTAAAAAAAATTAATCAACATTACAAAATATGCAAATTATTTTTTTAATTTACATAACATTACATTAACATACATGTACCATAACAGGATTGATAGTTTAAAACAAAGTTGCTCATAAGTTGTTCATGCTGTGACCAAAAAATCTAAAAATGACAGTTTTTTTGTAAATGTTTTAGTTTGAATTTGGACGAAATTTGATGGTAGGTAACCTATTTAGACGAAGAATAACGATTTTAATTATATTGTTGTAATTTAAAAATATTATTCGGGGGTACTTGAAATTTTCAAAGTGGGTGTATTATTATATTTTATACACGCAGTTATATTTTAAAATGCAATTTTCTTGGATAAAAATCATTTGACCTACTGACCTTCTGTATTAATTACTATAGTATGAAAATATACTTAATAATACTGACGACTGTTTTCACTAAGAGTCGTCAGTCGTTGTTCATAAACTATTATTTTACATAATTATACCATTGAATTCAAATTTAACTCATCCATACAGACACTCATCGCGACACTTAATACACAAGTACCCGCGGTATCCACGTACCCGCTTTTTTCTCCAATTAGGTGCTTAGAAAATAACTGAGAATTTTTTTACTTTAGACTATATTTACTTCGTTATACATCTTGTTCATATCTTGTTCATAATCTTGTCATAAAATTGTATTCTACAAAACCTACTTAATATAGTTTATAGTTGTATTTAAATTTTAATATTTGATATATTTTAATACATTTCTATACACGAACACGAGTATGGATTCGTAATTTAGGATCAGCTTTCATCTACAACTGGCATTTGATTGAGTAAGTTCATAATATACTTTTCGATCTATTACTTTTATATTAAACATGTCACGCCCAGCCCATAACTACACGGCAATTAGTCAAACATTTTGTTTGGATAGTCTTTTTTTGTGGCCCCGACGACGCTACCGGAATTCCTTAAGCATTTCGTCGACATGTAAGCATTATTTCGACACGTTTGGGTAATCTATGACATTAGCCACGTTGCAACAAATTTTTTTTTATACCCAAGCTCAATTCCAACTCCATTATTTTCCCTTCTATCCAAGCTAAAGTCATCTCCAGTCTTTCAACACATTGAGTAACTTAATAGCAAATAAATATTTATGTATATAATATTTTAAACAAGCTATCACACGATCGTCATCACGACTTTCGACGTCTGCATAAACACGACCGACCCTAGTTAAGACCTTCGATGTAGTCCCATTGGGTAACACAATTATAATAAGTATTTGAATTCGAATTTTGAAATATGGTTGTCTTACACAATAACAAAACGTGTTGAGTTTATTATTTAAACCAACCCACCTTTATCGGGGACTGTCAGTTAAAGGTTCTAAAATGTTCAATTTGTATAGCTAAGGTTTGGAAACGTAATAAATACAAAGTCATCAGGAATCATATGTGAGGCGGCGTCGAGACATTACATTGGTATTAAAAAAATATAATCACGAATTTTTTTATTAGCATTTTAAATTCAAATTTTGTCAAAACCTTTAACATTTGTAAATTATTTTGTTGTTAAAAGTTAATAAGATGTTTAATTTTTACCTATATAGCCGAGGCAGCAAGGCTTGAAAACGTAATACGAGGTCCCTCGTGATGGGTTCCTTATTAGTTATCACTGAAACCTAAAAATCTAAAAAAAATATAAACACAATAATATTTATAGACATTTTAAGTTCAGATTTTTGTGATATTAGCTACCTCTAACGGCTCTCCCTATATTTAAAAAATAATAACAATTTTAATTCCAAAATGTTATTCGTGGAGACTTGAAACTTTTACATACATTATTATATTTTTATACACACAATGATATTTTCAAAATATTTGGATTGATTTTAAGCTATATTGCCTATGTATACTAGTAAACTACGAACCTATTCACACAGTTTAACGGTAGGTCGGTATTAACTAAAAGTTAATAAAAAGAAGTTCCCGTTCGTCACTCTTTTACATATATAGCGTTCAGGTTCACAAAAAAGAGATCCGCTTCATTGAAAGTTTGATGTTTTAAAAAAAATAATTGGAATAGAAAATAAGTATAAATCATTGTGGACTATATTACAATAAATTAGTAATTAATACTTTTTTTAGATTAGGTTATTTATATCATGGTTAGGTAGTTGAAATTGTTCGCGGAAGCAATGCGAAAGCAGTTCCTGAGGCGTCGTCAGTTCAAAACTGAAAAAATAGGTTGTTGAAATTGTAATTTTAATACTTGAATTTTTTTTTTTTTGAGTTTCAACCGTGTAACTTAATATTTATTTAATGAAGAAAATTGTAATTTTTATAACAATATAAATATATATATTATATTAAAGATTTATTTTTTACGTGTATTCAATAATAACGTATAGCGTTTCGGTTCTGAAAGTTTTCCATTCCGAGCAATGGTTGTCTAGTTATAAATATTGTATAATTTTATAATAATTAAATATATTATATAATGTAATAAGGTAGGTATTTAAAAATCTTGTAAAAAATAAAGTTACTTATGGTTGGATTATATATAATTGCCTACCGTATTGTGTATTAATTGTTAACATTTGGAACTTATAAAATTATACTTAGCATTTATTAAAACTAATTACATGGATTTTCTGTATAGTGTTTACTCGTATTTTCTAAATCAAGCTGATAACGGTTTAAGTTATAATTCAGAGAGATAGGTACTGAAAAAGTGAAAACCCTTACTGAATTATCTTTAATTATATACTATATAACAGATTTCCTAACCCTCTTAAAAAACTATGAATAAATGTCAACCAATTTGGAAATAATTTTTTTTCTCCAACATGAAAAAATACAAACCATAATGTTTGCGAGCCAAATGTAACGAAGGCATTATAATATATTATGTAGGTACCTACTAAATCTCTTGGACATGTCAAGTGCATTTGACGTAAATATTGTACATTGAAACGTCACCAAAGATAAAATCTGAAATATGGCGCATATGCACCCCGTAGAACTACGGAATTACTCTTTGAAGAAAGAGTGTGAACAAAATCAAAGAACTATCAAGGTAAAAACTATACTTATAACTTATTCGGGTAAGTGGTAACCGGCCGGCAAGGCAGTGGTAGTGGATTTGTAATTTTTGTCATCCAATGTCCACGTAATCAAAGTCTGTTTATTCTAAAATTCCACTGTCTTCTTTAAATTAAGTCAATATTTCAACAGTACTGTTACTACCATTCCGTCACACAATCACTTTGTCCTTTAACAACCTCCTGCAGTCATTAATATTTCACTGCCATTAGTGAACTATTACGCTTTCATTATATGTACCTACCATTAGTTTAAATAATTTAAAAACGATATATGACGTTTTAATATTATTCTTTGTATTTTACTATACTACCACAGATTATATAAAATTAATATAATCTGTGATACTACTATGTGCTGAAGAAAACACTTTAATATATTGTCTTCCATTTATTTTTATGCAATCGCGCAGTGTGTCAGTTATATTTACAAATGAAACTGACACAATAGTAATTTGTATCTGTTAAAATGTTAACTACCTATATACAAATACAAAATAAATATCTAGCTATATTATATTAATTGTCCACCTCCTAGGTATCTTTCAAATTTTTTATTTTAAATTAAGAATAGTTCAATCTGTGGATATACAAAACGATAATATTATATTAGGTATGCTATATCCGGAAAAAAGCTTATGACAAAACATAACGCTTGGCGACCAGATTGTTTAAAAAAAAATATTTCATGCAATCGTAATACACATGATAAACAAAACATCGAGATCCGCGTGGCCGTTTAAAATATTTAAGGATAATATTAAACACGTCGTGTCGATATAGATCGTTGTGAACGTCGCGTCGCTGTCTTATTGCCAGCAGTCAGTGGTCAGCGCGTAACGTCGTGGTCGCGATGACAACTTTGGAGGCGATGGCCACTACCTCGGCGGAGGCGGCAGAGTCGTCGACCGCGAGGGCGTCATCGGATACTGAGGCGGCAGCGGCTGAAGTAATCGCGGCGCCGCCGCCGGCGTCTTCTGTTTTGCCGCTGGCGTCCGACACCGCCGAGATCGTGGCCATCTCCCGGCAGATCCGCCGGTCCCTGGATTGCCCGATATGTCTGACCCTGATGTCTGTCATGTCGTGCTACTGTCCCAACGGGCACGCCACGTGCCAGGCGTGCATGATGACGCTGTTTAGCATCAACAACAACCGTGGCACCCTGTGCCCGCTGTGCCGGACGTCGATGATGCCGCTCGAGAGCACTTCGGCCATGGTCGTCAAACTGGCCGAGGCGTCCCTGTCGGCGAAAGTGGCGTGCTCCAACTGGTCGTTCGGATGCCCCGAGCTGGTGCCCGTGCGGTATGTCAACGAACACGAGTCCGCGTGCCGGTACGTGCCGAACGTGCCATGCCAGGTGTCCGTGTGCCAGTGGGTGGGAATGTACGAACAGCTGTACGAACACGTGTCTAACGCTCACCCCGGTGTCGCCGTCGAGTCTTCGGTAACGATAAACATAATAGTATTATTAATATTAATATGACGAATAACCCGACGTAGTATGACAGCAGCTTACGACTGTGAGATAGTCTCAGTGGAGCAACTAGAGTTCAAACCTTGGGGGTGTTCACATAAGGAATCGGTCAGCAAACTACGGGAGCCCCCCCCCCCCCCCCCCCCCACATCATATGTGACCATTATTATTTAGATTATCCTACTGTTCACAATCATACCATTAATTGAAAATACATTTTACACATTTTATTTTCTTAAATTTTCTTATATTACTATATTTTTTAGCGTTAATATTTATAATACTTAAATTAGTAAAGTGTTGCTGTAACATGACGCTCCGCAGCCAATTTTCCAATCTCCTCATAGAAGAAAAATATCGTTCACATGTCACAGAACTGACAACTGACAAGTATGGTTAATGCAACCTTGCATTAACTAGTAGTGATTTGGAAAAAATCTTTAAAAATATTACCTAAATTGTTGTTAAAACTGTAGACATTTGAAATTAAAAATACAGAACTTGAGGGCGCTTAAATTAAAGTCGGGGGTGCACCACTGGCAGATAGTATATGATAGTGCATCGTTTTATAACTATGTGTTCGTCATTTTATTATTACGTTTTTATCAAAATTATTTGAAACCTAATATATACCATATACCATGGCTGTAGGTACATCCGTGCTGAAGCTCTATAATTATTAAGCACCCGACAAGACGCACCAGAATCGTATGTGAACGATTGCGGTCGTACAACTTTAGTGACAGATGGGAAATCGGTTTTTGCTATATTGTGTTTGTTAAAGAATTCATTTTTCCAATCGATTATATAAATGCAACATAAGAATAACGTTATAATTTATACTGCTATTTTTTATTAGTACACTATATCTATAAACAATAATATTATTATGCTAACAGCAAAAAACTGAAAACTATCATTTTTCTCGCGTCATTTCAGACGAACCGGCTGAACGTGACCGACCTTCTGTCAATCTCAAAGAACCGGCGCCGGACGTACCTGGTCCGGTCGACGTACGGTATGATGTGGGTGTTGTTGTCGCGGGCGTCGCGATCGCGGATACAGGTGGGACTTTTTATGGTGGACAACAGCACTTTGCAGAGCGGCCGACACCAGACATCGACCCCTGGCCAAAGTCGAGACGACCAGCGGCCAACGGACATCCAGTACCGGATCACGTGGTTCGACGACAGCGGCCGGAGCAGGACTAAGTGCAGGACGAAGGAGGTCAACTGGAGCACGACCCTGAAAGAGGGCTACTACACTGCCTCGCCCAACGCATATTCCGTATTCCGATCCAGGACAGGTCACATGGAGATCAGCTGGTTCCCGCTCTTGCGGCACAACAACAATCGCCGAACCAATCCCTCGACAAACCACGAGTTATGGCGACGATGTAACAATAATTCTACTACCGAAAATCAATGAATGTATGTGTGTGTTCATAAAATATTAAACGTGGATGTGATAAGTACGTACGACGAAGGTGGTGGCGTGGCATAATTTTATTAAGAGGATGCTTCGCGGAGATTTTTTGCCTGCGTTCTGCAAGTGCTCAACATAGCAAATTCGACGTTCAGCAGATCATATTTAGCTCCGTAAGTTTAAACATTACAGTGAATTGAGCTCTTATAAAATTTAAAGGTAAGATTATCCTCTAGGGCATCTCGTAGGCTTTTCATTATATTTTGATTTTAAAGCGAGTTATAAATATTTTAAAATTGTTTGTACATCTTAAAATGCTCATAACTCTCTTTAAAATTAAAATATAATAGTAACCTATAAGATGCTTTAGATAATAATCTTACCCTTAAATTTCATAAGAAGTCGATTCACTGTAATCGGAGCTCAACTCGTGATCTACTGAGCGTCAAATTTGGTATATTACGCACTTGTAAGTCGGCGACAAAAAAATGTTTGTGTAGCGTCCTCTATAAAATATTAATCGTCACCGACTCACCGGCATCAAAAGTTCACCGCCGCAGGTCGACTCATCCACACTCAGTACGAGATCGTGCTTACGTGAAACGTTTGGATATTTATTTGTTCTCATTTCTCAAGTAATTTGTTTTTTAACTAATCAATAAACAAACGTTATATTTTAACGAAATATATGATTGATTTTGAGGTAGCCACTTTCGTGATGTAAAATATTTCTATCAATCTCATTATGGCGATTTCATTTTAGTTGAAATTATATTACAATCGACTCTCGATAGTTCGAACTTTTGGCAATTCGAAGTAATTGCTCGTTAGTTCCCAAGCACAAAATATAATTTAGTCTAAAAATTAGTTAGCAATACTTTTTAACAATGTATTTTGCAGCAAATAAAGTTAGATAAAAGGGCATTATGTAATCTGTCCAGTTTTGAACCTACAAAAATTGTAATTTGCGTCATTTTTTACCTTATCAAAATTGTAATTTGCGTCACTTTAAAATTATTATTAACATTTTTTGTTTTTTACTTACGTAGTTGTTTATTTTACTCATCAATCAAGTTAATTTTAATAGATACATTTCAATATAAATATTAAAATATGCATAAAGTAAAATAAAAATGTAGGCAAGCTAATTTATTGTAACTGTAAGTAGATATCAGTAATACGCCAGTGTTTAAATAAGTGTATTGTAGTTAATTATAAAACATGTAGAAATTAGATGTATTATATTATTTTAATGTTATAAATTATAACATTTATTTTGTTTTTAATTATCCAATTGCTCATATTATTTCTTCACTTTTTATGTGGTATAGATATAACGTCTATAACTCACGATAAAATTAGGATAGCATGGCAACGATCTGAAATATCATCGGGTTTTGCGCACGTCACTGTACATCCAGTTCGCCTCATGCCCTCATTATATTATAAATACACTATAAAATAATTATGCCATGTATACTAGTATACAGGGTGATTATTTAAGCAAGCTCTCCCTTTGTTTATACTTAAATTACTCATTCATTTAAATTCTGATTTTTGGAATTTCCAAATACATTTAATGAACATATTTTCGAATACTTGTGATTTATTGTACCAATTTTTTTTTTTTATTGATCTAGATGAAATACAACTCGACAGCAAAGGCCATTAGTTTATTGTACCATTATTAAGGATAATCTTGAGACAAAACAAACTTCTGTTTTTCAAATAGAAACACTCTTTCTCACTTTCAATTGGTATTGTTTTTTTGTTGAAAATTTGTTATATCCAGATCAGCATTTGAACGAGAAGTTTTTAGTTGTACAACTTTGTTTACTAAGGATAATATGTCTGCGTTAATAAGGTCTGTAGGTATGGAGGCTTAAATAGTTAATTAAACTAATTTATCTATATAAACAATTGGTAAAAATGGTCCAAGTATAATAAATACTACATCTAATGTACCATATAGTTTGATTAACATTACTAGTTTTATACAATTTGTTTTGTTACATTCAGTATAATACTATTATATAAGTTTACTATTTGTACAGTATTTAAATAATTATGTACTTGTAAGCGAACGGAGTGCCTCTAAAATTTTCCGGTAAGTTTTAAAAGGGCCCTGCAGCTCTACTGTCCGATGCAATGAAAATATACAAGCCGTTTTGTTTCGTATTCGTATTCGTGAGGTTTACGTAGCAGCACGTACTACACAGCAATATTTTTAAGGAAAAATAATAACACGAACTGAAAAATAAGGGACAAAAAATAATAATATTTTGGTGGCAGCTGTCGATGGCGTAGGTTGGTCATCAGTCGTGTCTGCGAGTACCAGGAATTCATGAGTTGCACGGTCGTCACTATACTACAATTGTATAATTATATGCATATATATATTTACATATATATGTATCTATGTATATGTATATTACTATTATATTTTGTTATAGTAGAGTTATCGAAATCGTTATTTTATTTTAATTGTGTATGGATAAAAATTAATTATTATTTATTAAAGTACCTAGAAACTACAATTATAAAAAAATATTAAGTATACATTACTAGGTAATAATATTATGTGTATTTTTACAATATGCAGGAAACTTCTTATTCGTAACAATATTTATTTACACTGATATCGTATTTTAACAACAAATTAGTTACATACTTAAAAAAAAATTAAAGGTAACATAATTTTTTTTTAATTACGTTACACACTCGGCACTCGTTTGTTGTCTCCGTCCTACTCTTACACTTAATAAGGAACATAGGCCATAGACCATAGCAAATTTACACTATACAGTTCACGTTGATCTCTGTTTGTATAAATATTTGAGCTATAATGACATTGCCTGTGTTTGATTGTTGTTTTTACGATAATTTAGTTTTTAAGTGAGTTATAAGCATTTTTAAATTGCAACTATCCACAGAAAACGTTTAACACAGTAGGTGTCTATAGAGGGGCACTCCAAGGGGGTGTCAAAGTTGAAATTTGAATTCAATGATATAAAATGATCGTATACGAAAAACGATTCTGAGCAAGGGTGGTCTATCCGCCTATATTACTAAGTATAATTTATGATATTATTGCTATTAAGGTAATTTATATTACATACAAATCAAGGGAAGCTATTGTCTATTAGACATAAGTAATACAGTTGGTTGAATCAATTTTAAATGTCATTGTGAGTATACAATAAAATAGTAGTAATACAAGTTTCAAGAACACACAAATAAATTTTTTTTTATTAAAACATAAAAAAATAAAATCATTATTCTTTGCTTAAATTTCCAATTTCATCCAAGTATCTTTAAATAAAACTGTGTTTTTAGAAATAATATTTGTCAATATATTTTTTATTTAAACTGAAAGTTTTCTTATTACGTCATATTTATTATGTCACCGTGTTCAATAATGTATTACTCAAAATATGCCTGGATAAAATCTCGAATCAATTAGGCAGAATAGCCATAGCGTATGCAAATCATATCGACTAGCCTGGTAATCAGATAAGACGTCTGAAAATATATTTTAACTCTTTATGAAGTTTACTCGAAAATGAGAACAAAAATTGATTGATGTATAATTTCATATCTATTACCTACATATAATAAAATATAATGACAGAATATCATATTATGTACAACTTTTAGCTAAATTCATTTTCACAATCTCATATAATTTGTATGACCCTTCATTATGATATTTAAAAAAATGTAATTTCATGCTTACCTACTTTACAATGAGACACAATCAAAACATAAAAAAGGGGGAAAAATTTCGTTAACCTGACTTTGGGGCGCAATATTGACGGTCCACGGAAGGACGTAGTTCCCAGTAGTGATCTAAAATGATTTTATCATAAGATGCTGACTATTTACCGTACACTAGGAACAATAAAAATATAATTCAAGAATTATATAGATTGATTTAATATCAAATATTTAAAAGGTAACATTTTTGAAAATTTCACCTTAATAAGTAAATCAGTTATTTATTACTTTGCATTTGGGCTTATATTTGCAGGCTTACAGTCGATGAATAGCTGTTATAACCAAGCTAACCCTATATAATAATTAATAATTAATAACATAATGTCTTAACAATTTTTTTATAAATAATTAAGTTTTTAACTGACATTTTAAATTTTAAATTTATCTATAAAAAATGATATTAAACCTAAAACGTTATACTTTATGATACAAATGTTTAATTTAATTTAATTTATTTTTTATTATTTTGTGTCAATCTAATAACTATTGTATTCAAACAAATATGTTCTTTTAGCCTAAACCACATTTCAAAAGTACCAGAGTTTATTGTTTTATTGTTTTGCAAAATATTACTAGTAAGGTAAGATGCGGTGATTGTATAAACGGTAAGATACATTTTGACTTTTGACTTTGTTTTAAAGTATAATTACATATTTTATCAGGACCACAATAATTATACACGTGTGTGCGTACTTTGTGTTCGTAATTTTATATAGGACCTTTATACTTATACAAGAAACGTATAAAGGTTAATTAGAGGTTAATATTAATTGAAATATTACTAACTTAAATTAAAATTAATTAATATTAATTTAAGACATCGTCTAGACTTATTGATGTTTCTAATAACCTTAATAATCAAATCAAAATGTCTCACCAATGTCTGTTTTCAATAAATACAATTTTTGAATATGTAGGTATGTCGTAGGTATTATTTTGTTTAACCTTGTTAGTGTAATTATAATATTATATTTATATTGAAGTTAGGTTCTGTTATGTACATCTATTGTTCTAACTGCGAATATATGTAATATAAAAGTGGACAATTCGGATAATGTATACAATGCCCGGGCATTGTATACAGTGACCGAGCAATGTATACAAATACAATGTCCGAGGTATATTGGCCAATGTAAATTGTGAAGTATTTTTACAAATAATCTGCATAATATATTATGTTTTTATTGCAAATTATTAATATTACATTATTATACATAATTAATAATCAGCAATATAACATAATATAATGTATTAATATTATTTTTTTAATATAACAGAATATAATATATTAATATTATTTTTTTTCTTACAAAGTATAAATAGTTATATGTTACGTCTATCTTTTGGTTATACCTTATACACTAAAGACATTTTGTGAATACACTATATATCCCGAAAATGTAAGTGCAAATCAGCAAATAGACTATGTAGTATGTACATCAAAATGCCATTCAAGCAGTACATGTGAAAATAAATAATTTAATTTAATTTAATTTAAATTTAAATTAATTAGTATAAATAGTATAATAGTCTATTGTAAAAAAATAATTAATATATTATATTATGTTATATTGATGATTATTAACTATGTATAATAATGTAATATTAATAATTTGCAATAAAAACATAATATATTATGCAGATTATTTGTATAAATACTTCACAATTTACATTGCCCAATATACATCGGACATTGTATACATTGTCCGAATTTTCCACTTTGCCCGTAACATATATATGAAATAGGGCGTAAGACGTTTAGGTAAAAATAACGATATTTTTACCTGTGAATTGGGAGAACGATTAGTACACAATGTACACCCGATATACAGGGACTATATTATTATGTTTACTGCAGTTATGCACCATTAATATGTAAAGGTTAAAAACTTTTTCAGGTACAATGCGAGGTGCTAAATTTATGAACATAAAAGATAATACAGTATTGTGCACATGATATTTGTAAAAAAATTCCTCGTTTGTGTAAAACTTTTTAAACCTTATTTCTACACCATTTTATTTTTTAAAGCCCATTAACGTTAATTAGGATACACTACTGAGGTTTAAGAGGTTTTCTCCCATAACTCCCCAATATTAAATTGTCTCCCAAATTTTTTTTGTAATACTTAAATATAAAAATATGTTGTTCATTGTAGTTAGAAAAGTATTATATTAATTATTAAATCTTTAAAAAATAACAAAGTTTTATTTCCATATTTTTTTCAACTTAATCGATTAAAGTACCTATGTTCGCATAGGCGGGGATCGGGGGGGGGCTTACGGGGGCTTAGTCCCCCCAAAATAAATTATTAGAAGTTAAAGACCCCCTAAGAATATTAAACAAACAAAACTGTAATTTTGTACAGTTTGCAGAACTTTTTTCATTATTTTATATTCTTATATCCACAATTATATAAGTGTACCTAGTACATTACATACACACTATTTACCTATTTATTATTTACGGTAACATACCGAACAATTAAGTCACAACTCACAATTCACAATAATATTATATTGTGTTTATATACCTAATATTGTTCATATTTTGTACCAATTGGCCATCTATATTGAATAACATATTATACCATTCTATTTTAGATGGGAAAAATATTATTTCTTTTCCTAATTTTTGTTAATTCTCGAGAAGCGATAGCTATTATAGGACTATCGCTATAGCTGTATTAAACCTATCGTAAAGTCTATCGCGATTGAATGAATCGTTAACCGTATTGACCATTTTATACTAAATTATATTTTACTTATTGTTTGATGTTCTTGGGAATACATTTCTTTTGAGATTGTTATTTAGATTTTAAATAAATAATTTAGTTCAAATATGTTTGAACCACGGACTAAGATAGTATGGACTGGTATTGACATGGTTGGGGGGTAGTAGAGGAACGGTCCTCAAATGTTTCGACACTGCCACTCCCCCGTCCTAAGAGGCCGCCGAAAGGTACAACTAGGGGTAAAAGCGCTCCTAGTGTCAAATAAAGTTACTAATATTGTATATTTTGATACTTCTATTTCGGTCACCGAAATTCACCGACATTATGAATATTACATTTTAATATTGTCCGTAGTTGCTCTTTTAATAAATGTTGATACAGTTTTTAAAATGCCTCGACGTTGTTCTGTTGTTAAGTGCACTAGTTTTAACAAAACATCCAATGTTCCATTATTTAAAGTATACGATTCTGACTTTGATGCTTGGAACAAAATTATTTCTAAAGTGAATGGACATTTTTTGCGTAAAGTTACTTATGTATGTGCTGAACATTTTTGCAATGACGATTTTATCACAAATTATGCTGTACCTAAATGTTTATCTGAAGATAAAGAAAAACTAGAAAAAGTAAGAACACCAGATAGGTTAGATATATCTAGGTATATAACATATAATATATTCCTACTAGGTATTAAAATATTTTGATTGTATACCTTCAGGTATTGGGTCAAAGGACACAAATTAAGCTGAAAAAAGGTGCAATTCCATCAATATTTGATCCATCAGTAATTAATACTTCTAATAACAATTTAGAAATTACTTTACCAGAACCTTTAAATTCTAATACTCTTATTGAGCCATTTAGAAAACAACTATTTGGTGAATCTATGAATAAATCAATATGTACAGAACCATCTTTAGAAGTAAGTTTGTTATACTTATTTAAAGAAATATTACTATTTACTTTTATAGTTTTATGGGTGTTATGTGATACTATAGTAAGCCTTTTTCTAATATTATTTAAGGACCCATTTAGCAATTTTAAAGACATTATATTACCGGTTGGATGGATGCTGTATAGGGGAGTAAACATTATGTCATTATATAAACCTAATATATTAGATGGAATTAAAGTTGTTATTGAAAAACAAATAGTTTTTCATTCTAGCTCTTTAGATATTAACTATTATGTTAATCAGAAATGTATAAATCCTACAATTGTAGATTTAAAACAATTGACATACTCATTAAATACATTGGATGTGATTGAAAACATTAAATTATTTGAACAAAAAAAGATTTGTCAAGGAGGTCCAAATGTTATAAATTTTCCAGGTTTGATGAAAATTTGTTATTAAAAACTATATGTTATGTGTTACATAATAGCCATGTATATTTTGCATTTTATAATATTTAAACATTTTTTTTT